CTCCCAGACAGCAGTCTGGGGTCCATGTGCTCCCCCTTGTTCAGGCCAGGTTTTAAGGTATTCTTGCATGATACAGACAAGCTCTGCACTCATGAGATTTTTATCAGAAAGGTGTCACTATTTCACCGGAGGAAAACCTGTAAAAATAGCCATAAATGTAGGGCAAATAAAAATTTTACAATGGTAGACACATGGCACTATTGATAGAGCAAATCAAAATTTTACAAGGGGAGACACATGACACTATGGATGGAAATTTGCTATGAGACATTTGTAGTTCAGTTCTCTGTACTTCTTAGGATAGTGAGTTGCCACTAGTTCTGTCCCAAGACATTTGAGTGTTTGGTAGTTCCAGTGAGTGCAGTTATGTGGTTCCCAGCAGGATATGCTGAGTCCCTTAAACTCAGATTACAAGGTCATTCTGACTCCTGAGCTGAGAACTAAGGTCACCCTACTCCCTAACCATGCTTCATGGTCTCTCTCAAGTGTGCTTGGCCTTCCCGACTACTAGAATCTGTGATTGATAGACAACAATACCAGAATCTCTCAAATGTCTTCATTAAGTTGTTGACATTGGGAGCTTAGCATTAGACAAACTAAAAATTAAAAGTACTGTGAGATTTAATGAGAATTATACTTTGATCTAATGCCTCATTTTAAAGTCTGGTTTCATTAGTATCAACACTTGTTCGTTATCCATTTAAGTCAGTTCCAGACTACATCATCTTAGAACAACAATTTGTTAAATTAGACATTGTAAAGCTCAGGGTTTCGGTGGGAGGGTGGGTGCAGTGGCAAACAAGTAAGTGCCCATGAAAATCCCTGGAAAAGCTGTCATATGAAAACCTGGAATTTCAGATGTGAGTGACAGGCAAGTGGAGAGGGCAGGCACTTATGGCTTTACAAAAATATCTCTGACTTTCATTTGTCCTTTGAACATAACCTCTGTTCATTTCTTTCAGTTCTTTGTTTCAACACCAGCTTTCAGCCATGATGCCACTTCATACTACAAAATATTTAGCGACAAGGATGGTTACAAACATATTCACTACATCAAAGACACTGTGGTACGTTCCTTCCAAGATTTATCTCCTCAAAGATCATTCACTTGAGGTTGCTCAAGCAATGCTCGGCTTCACACAACATAATGTTTGTCTTTTTATAGGAAAATGCTATTCAAATTACAAGTGGCAAGTGGGAGGCCATATATATATTCAGAGTGACACAGGATTCACTGTAAGTATTTCATGCATCACGATGCACCATTCAGGTTTTAATTGGCACCAAACAATGGGTGTACAAATGATGGGCTGTACTGTCTACTCAGCTAACTGAAGGAGCATTCTGTTGCTTTCTGGTTACATCCAAACAGCAATGATTTCATTAAGAGTGCACATTCTTTAATAACTAGTCAGCAAGATTTCCTTCTGGAAAGAATTGTGTTAGGTACCTTTATGAAAAGTATAAGTATTCTCAGATAGCAATTGGTTCTGAAGGCTAATTTTATTTTTCAACACTTAAAGGAATGAACAAGCTTCAAAACCCTAAAGAAGGTAGCCAACATATATGGGAGACTCTATGTAGAGATTCAGTGTTATCTGGGTTTCATTTTATCTGTAACAGCCATTAGCCATTGAAGGATTACTGCCTACCAGATACTGTAAAGTAAGAATAATTGCTCTGAGTTTGTAAATGAGAAAAGAGACACTCAGAGCATGTAATTGACTTGGCTAAAGGCCATTTAATTAGTGGAAGGTGAGCCTTCAGCTAAAGCTTATGAATCCAAGACTGTTGCTGTTAACCTCAGAAGGGAATTCTTTAAGTTCTTTCCTTTCTGTCCATCCTATACACTGCCTCATAAAACTTTCTTAGAATAGCCATTCATGGTGCATTTAAGTAATCAGAAGTCCCTGCTGTTTTTCCTCCATTGATTCTAATGCTGTGTAAATTAGGGTTATTCCTTCACTACTCATAATCTGACTACCATTAAATGGAATTTGAGGAGCAAAGGAACAGAATCATTTATCTACCCTTACCATATAGAAAGTGTTCAGAACCTATTGCCATTCTATGAAATTATTTGAATAGGAGCCAAAGGAGTTTGGTCCTTACACAGCCTTAAAAGTGACTACAGTCAGAAATTACGAGAGATAGATTTCAGGCATAATAGGTTTGGGAAATAGGGGAAAAAAAAACACTGAAGGCTTGAAGCTCCTGCTATGGTTATGATGGTCAGTGGTGACTGGGGCTTGAGCTGGTATGATGACAATGAACTGTGGAGTAGAAAAACGCAGATGGGCCTCTTTTCTTGTGTGTCCTCAGCATGAAGCCTGACACAGTAGAGGTTCAGTTCACATTTCTGAAGTGAATGAAAAGAAAGGGTCAATGTTTAGGAAAGATGGGGTGGGATAATTATTATTGTCTGTGAGGGAGAGGAGAGAGGCAAGTGGGAAAGCAGGCTGGGCTGCAGTGTTAGAGGTGAAAGCAATACTGGAAACTTTGACAGCCTGGGAAAGCTCCAAGGGGCCTTTGGGGGAGGGGAGTGAGCAGTTAATTCACACACTGTTTGAAAGGGTGTGGGAAAGGCAAGTGAAAGTGATGACTGGAGTCCTGTGACATTAGTGCAAACATAAATAAACCAGATTTACGCAGGTTTTGAATATAAATTTCATACAGGAAATGCATTGAATTATGTTGTCTCTTTCTTTAAGGAACTTTTTTTTTTTTTTTTTGGACACCGAAGATGCCTGAACTACTAAGCCCTCCTGAGAATTAAAACAAACCTTGTTTATTCTAAACTTTTCACACTCTATTATGCTCTTCTTGGTGGGGAGGGGGGAGGAGACAGCTACTTTGAGATAGTCCCATAAATTCACAGAGGAATGGAAGTCATGTCACCAAACTGGATTTTCCACTTCATAGCTATATTAAGACAGAACCAAGCCTGCACCTGGGTGGTTAGGTAGCAAGTTTGTTCTCCTGTGGTTTGTTCTGCAGCTTGGTGAATTAACATAGCCTGTGGTATGTTCATACCATCCAGTTCCGATGAGTTTCCTGGCATGGGGTGTATAATAATGTGTTCTCAGTCATAGACAAAATAAATAACATAGTTGAGAAAACAGTAAACATTCATAATGAAAAAGGAAAAGTATAATATTAGTTTAAATAGGTCATTTTTCCTGGCTCATGCTTAATGAATCAGAATAAAATAATTTGTTCTAAAGAGTACTCAGCTCAATTTTACCTTTCTCTGATGATCTGTAAGTTACAGTAAATGCCCCAAATTCATTTCTGCATAGCAGTGATTCTTACACATATTAATTAATAGTTTCATTAAATTAATGGGATTTTTGCCAAAGCTACTTATTAATATTAGTGACAATACTTTTGTCATTTAATAACCAATACTTAATATTTCCTAAATTCATTTCAGGTTTTATTCTAGCAATGAATTTGAAGGTTACCCTGGAAGAAGAAACATCTACAGGTAATTTAGGCCAATCCAAAACAGTATTGAGAGAGAGAGAGAGAGAGAGAGAGAGAGAGAGAGAGAGAGAGAGAGATGCAGATACTTGAGTAAAATCAAATCATAACCATGGGTGGATACAGGATGCTTTGTGAAGTGTGGAATGTTATGAAATCCACTTGTAAATTCAGATAAATAATTCAGAAAATGATGTACACAATATCAATATAAAAGTCACATGCTTCCAAAATGTGAGCTAACTCAAAATGCTTTCTTTTGAAAAGAACAATATAGGAAATTCTAATGATATAAATACTAAATATTTCTGTATAATAGTAGATGCTTTGGAAACTTGGATTTAATTCAGGACTTTTATTTACTAATGCACATTTGTTGAGCACTTGCTAAGTGTCACACTATTTTTACTCTTGTAGTGTGATCATCACTTTAGCTCATTTTGCTACAGCCAACTCCATCCTTATATTAGTTATTAAAATTCAATCCAATTGTTCTGCATATGAAAAATGGAAACAGTGGTTAACGTTGCTGGTGCTCTAATATAACCCAAATATCTTTTTAACTAATTTGCACATATAATTGCATTTAATTTTAATAACTTTATGCAGTACATAATACCACTGGAGTTGAGATTTGAACATTGGTGTGATGTCCTCTGAGCACTTACTGTTACCTCCCTTCCTGCCATTTCCAAGACCACACAAAAATTCAAGCATGGAATGTGTACAAGGAAAAACAAACAAAACCCCTCTTAATCATAGTCCTGTCTCACACCTGGATACCTTCCCACTGGGAATCCCCCTTCTCTGGAAACAAGCATGTCTCTAGACCCCCCACTGTCATGCTCAAGGCAATCTCAGGGAGAAGGAAGGGAAAGACTTGGGAGATGGCAAAGTCAGAATGGACTCTGACCATGTCAGAACACCATCGAGGATCCCCATAAAGGGATTCTGATGAAGTGTTTGATGAGGAGTCCAGACATCTATTATTTATTGAAATTAATCACTCCGTTCCAGAACCACAGTGTGGGGACATGGAGGAAGGAAAGGTGAGGTTGGCCTGTGTGTGATGGAGGAGGTAACATCCTCAGATGCAGCTCCTGAAAGCCCACATGCCCTGTTGAAAGGATGAAAGATGCAAATAGAATGTGACTTCTTATTTCCATATTACTAAAACCTAAAACTAAACCCTTCCAGATACAGAAAAGAATAGAGACCCTTTCTTGATAATGCTACCAGGTTTCTTTGTGTGTTTTGATATGGAGCAGAAAAGAGGAGGTGTGTGGGGGGCGGGGGAAGTCTCCAACTACTTCATAAGCAATTAATGGCTATGAAAAATGGCTACCTCACTCCCATTGCAAGTGTTCTATAGCTTTCCCATTTTGGGAAACCCACAGAGGGCTTCTCCCTCAAAGCTTGTGCCTCTTCAGGCAAAAATGGATCAAAAATCAAGCTACATCAAAACACTGTGATTCCCCTCTACTTTAAATGATATTGGCAACAGAAAAATAGAGTGGGTTTGATGTCAATATGTAAATTAGTCACTTTACATGGAGTAGTACATTTTGATAAATACAATCTCAAAATTTCAGCTTAGCTTTATTTTCATTTCCCTCTAGAATTAGCATTGGAAACTCTCCTCCGAGCAAGAAGTGTGTTACTTGCCATCTAAGGAAAGAAAGGTGCCAATATTACACAGCAAGTTTCAGCTACGACGCCAAGTACTATGCACTCATCTGCTATGGTAGGTGACGGACCTAACACAAGCATCGCCACTTCCACAGCCATTGTCATCATCCTTGTCACTCCATCTGATTACTTCGAAGCTTTTCATTTCTTGAGAACCTGTTATATATAAGGATCTTATCACATGCCTAAGGCTTGGGGAATGAACAGCATAGGAAGGTATTATTCTCACTTGTTTGTGTTTGATGAAGCTGAATAACCAGCTAAGTTGTGTACCTCTGCTGGGCAATAGTCAGGGCTGAAGCAATAGTTGGCTGCTTTAATCTTCTTGCTTTTAGCCACCATATTTCACATCACTATGACGTTGCATGCAGACACCATCTACCATATAGGTACAGAAGGAGAAACGTTAAAACAGAAGTGTTTTTTCCCCCTAATTAAGTGGTTATTCTGCCTTGGCCTCATTTGTGGGAAAAGTATCAAGGAACAATGGCCCAGGAACCTGAGGTCTGTTCAGTGAAGACAAATATACTTCTAACTCTAGCATCAAATGAGGACAAAAAGTAAACCTCTGAAATTCAATCCTTCCTCTTAAAAATTGGAAGATATTTTGAGTAATTTATTCAAACACTTAACAAATGAACCATTGTAGCGTAATACAGAAAGCATTTCCTGGTTGTTTAGACCATGGTCACATTTTACAAATAATTTGCTATCTAGACAAGTTAATTTCATTCACAAATTGTTATCTTGAATAAATAACAAGAAATGCAAGCTAACACTAAAACCCAATGGAATTGGTGACTATTCAGGGTTTAGTAGAATCACTAATTCTATAATTGCTGTATTGTTACCCTGGCAATGCCAGTTTAGGGGAGTGGGTGGCACACTTGGCAGGAAATTCAACAAAGTACATGCCATCCTCTTGTTCCTGACATCAGTTGCTCCTGTGCAGGTAGGTGACTTAAAGAACAATGGAACTTTTCATCAACTGAGGTCTGTACTCAGTTGCAGAGGCCTCCTGTGGGGTTCCTGTAAAATGAGCAAGAATTGAGGCTATCATGATATGCCACTTCCCTTAATCCAACAACCTGGCTCTAGAACCCGAGCCACGGCTCATTTGACTATGTAGACATGAATAACCATTTTAACCCGAACGCTCCCTTCAAGATGTCACAAGATGTCAGTTTGAAATAACACTTCCCTAAAATGTTTGGTCAGTGGCATCTTTGAAATGTCAAGAGATTGTTGTTCATGGCCATATGTGCTGATTGTGATTATGGCATTTAAAGGTAAACATTAAATGTCCCTCTCAAGTTATATGCAACATTTTCCAACCCAAACTCTATATTTATGTAACATGTATCAAAAGCTTACATGTCAGGCACACAGCATCCTTGAACTAAGGAAGCTGGAGCATCTGTTTATCTTTCTCTCCTGGAAGGCTGGGTGGGGCTGATCTCCTTAGTCGTTCTGTTCATAACAGTAAGAGGAGTGTCTAATACATTTCACATAAACATCGTGGTACATGACAAGGATGACTGTCTTTTGCAAACTCTACCGAGGTAGTTGTTTCTTGCTGTTCCATTTGCTGATAATCAAGGTAGCAATGTCACATTAACATATATGCATTTATACCAGTGTGCTCTCTATATTTGAATAACGCAGTACAGCTCTCTGGAAAGGCATGCTAACATGTTTTGTATCACTTTTCTCTAGTATCTACTTGAACCTAAATGTTCACTGAAGTATAGATAAGGAACCAAAGACTAAGCCCTCATCAAAAGTTGGTGGAAGAGTCCTTTCTAGAACTTGAATCGCCTGACTTTTCTACCACTCACTCTTCCTCGGCAGTATGGTAATTTCCCATTTAGCAAAAAATATACTGTGTGGGAAGCATCACATCGTCTGGTGTTTTTGAAGCTCCAGTAAAATGAGTCACTGCACCATCATAGGAAAAACCTTGAAATCTTTCTCTTTGGGGCTAAGAGGAACGCCTCATTATGTAACTTTCAAACTCTCCAAAGGGCTATTGAGCCCTGGAAGACAGGATTAACGCAGGTAAAAGTCGTATTGGTAACTTGAAACAAAAAGAGTACAAATAGGAATTTTAGGCTTTGATGCCATGTCTCTTGGGCCATGCAGGTTTCCACTACTGGAAACATATGCCCATGAAAATTCCATATGATGAATGTTAATATATCAAAGCATAGAGATTTAAACTGCCTTGTCTCCTTAGATTCTGGCCCTAAATGTAATATGCATGTGTGTCCTTTTTGATAACTTTGAGGAAACACTGAGTCTCAGGAAAAGCTTTTTAGTTATCTTCACCAACACTCTTGACTGTCACAGAAGGACTGCTGGTCTTTTGAGAAAGTCAAATAAAAATCTCTTTCCTCTAGTCTCAGGTTATACTAAGAAGTAAGGCAGGAAATCAAAATATTAGCTTTATTATTTATAAAGACTAGTCGGAAAATGTGGTGGAGGTAAGGTATGTGCTTTCCAACACTGTGCCCCAAATTACTGTTGTTCAAACATGGTACAGTTGCAGGATTGGCCCATGGGGCTTGGCATTCTAAGCTCTATTGAATAAATCAGAAGCATGTTTTCCAGAGTCAGAAGGCTGCCAGGAACCAGCCAGAAGGTCCCATTCATAGGCAGGTCTCCCAAGAACCCAGAGAAGTCCCTCTTGTGCTTTACTTGGAGCTAAGGACATGATTCTAATGGGGCTTCCTTAAGGCAGAAGGAAATATTAGGAATGGCAAGTCATCTATCCCAACCACACATGTGCTGCTTTTCAACCCACTGAGTCCCTAGGTAAATGCACTCTTTAAAAGTGTGCTCTGGGTATTATTTTATCCTATACTTCAGATGAATGACTATTTATTTATTTATTTATTTATTTATTTAGACTTTGCTAAAATGGCCAGTTTCTACATAGAGAAGCTAAATTTGAAAAAAAAAATTGTAGACAATGATGTACTGAACAAAGCAGCTATCTTTCTTTCTTTCTTTCTTTCTTTCTTTTTATTTATTTTTTCTTTGAGACATGGTTTCTCTGTGTGACCCTGGATGTCCTGGAACCTGCTCTGTAGACCAGGCTGGCCTTGAGCTCACAGAGATCTACCTGTTCTGGCTCCTGAGTGCTGGGATAAAAGGCTTATACCACCACCACCCAGCCAGAGCCTCTATCTTAAGGCTGGATTTATCAGTCATTACTGATACAACTTTCAACCCAAATCCCAAGTATGGAGATTGATATAATCACAGGCCATATCCAATGGTTGTGCTCTATGCTGGGGGATAAAGACCTGTCATGTTTGCCCCATTGGGACAATTCTGCACACTCCGTAGCTTGCTGGAGGCTTGGCTTGAGTCTCTGTGCCGGACGCTGAAGCCCACCCTCCCCCATGATCCTATCCTTCCTTCTTTAACTCCTCAAGCAACATCACCATTCCACCCTTCCTCATGCCATAATTTACTAGCCCCTAAAACATGACCTACAACAACATATTGGAAAAGGAAAGATATTTCTATACAAAATTATTGCTGCACATAATAATTATAAGGATAAAAGACGCTGGCCTTTACCCACTAAAACAAAATAAACATTTAACAAATGACACACAGTCTAGGTACTGATGAAGGCTACGTGGTAATACACAACTGAAACTTGGCCAATGTAGTGTGACAGCTTTCCAGAAGGCCAGCTTGTGGGGTTTCTCCATGTATTTAATCAAGTTTTAACTATCCAGGCTCACTCCTAGAAAAGCCACAGCACAGGTAAGCCTTTTATTACATCTGTTCTTTGATTGGATTTTGATCTGATGCATATGTTTTAAACATAAATTAAAATGTTTGCTTCTCTATGGTTTAAAAAAAGTCACTGAAGTGTTAAAAGATGTACTTGTGCTTGACACCAGTATTTATGAATACTACAAGCAATACTGGATAAAATGAAATGTTACTTTTAACAATAGTCACATTTTTGTTTCTATCCTGCACACAGGCCCTGGCCTCCCCATTTCCACCCTCCATGACGGCCGAACAGACCAAGGTACTCTCTCGCCTCTAAAGATACCCTGAGTTCTCTACCATGAGCCACTCCAGAGAGCAGGACAGTTGGCCCACTTTAAAAGGAGAAATTGTGATACCATGTTATCATCATAAAGCTTATTATACCACAGATTCAGATGTTGCTTGGATTAAACCTAATCACTTGAAGCTTGGTACTTATTGGCAGTGGGAATGTGACATAATAGAAATTGCATGATAGAGATCAATTCTCTCTTCTCCCTCAGCCTTTGTAAAGCCACAGAAGAGTAGAATCAGACAGGATAGTTACACATCTTTTTTTCTCCTCAAAAAAAAAAAAAAAAAGAATTCCTGCTTTTCAAGGAGTATCCTTTTCTTTTTTTCTTCTTCTTCCCCTTCCTCTTTCACTCCAAACTGGCAAAAAATTCTAGACACTACTTCTCTGATTCAGTTCAGAGCAGAGGGTGATTATCATGCCAACACTTTTGTTTGTTTGGCTTTGTGTTAACAGCTATATCGCATTGTTGCCATGTGTGAAAGTCCTGGAATTTGAGGAAACTTTCCATTTTTGATTGCTGTCATCCTAGTTCTCCTCTACCTTGAATTTGTGATATTGGTTAAAATAGTTCACAGTTCAAAGATGGCCATTTTTTTGTTTTGCCCTCAACAGGGTTATAACTGTCTGGTATTCTTCCCAATGGCTCTCCATTATCCTCTGGTTGCCCATTAAACACCAAAAGACTGGAGTTGCTGGAGAGCAGGGTTGATGCGGGACAAGCTGATGCTTCTCCCTTCAGCACTCATGCCTGCAGCTGTCCCTGGACAGCCTTGCTGACAGTCAGGACACTACTTGGGGATTTGTTTTGTGTCAGTTTAATGGCTCAAGAATAGGTGAAAATAAAGTTATGAGGAAAGGCCAGGGATACTGATGTGGGACAATGGATTTAGTTTCACTTTGAAGTTATTCTAACCTATATCTAATAATGAAATGGTTTCATAAACAACAGGTTAAATTTGTTAATTAGACATATTCAACATTCAGAGAACAACATTTTAAAGCAATACTACTTTCAGGTCCTGAAGTTTTTGTTTTAATGGAAATCTCCATAGATATTTAAAGTTAATTTTATCACCACTCTAAAATATAACTCCACTTCCTTTCCTCCATAAAATGAATTTCTATATCCTAGCGATTTTTATCTTGATGTTCTTGTTATATTCAGGCAGATACTAATCTTTTTAATGCTTTTGAAGTATTACACCACTCTCCATATACATCAGATATATTTTTGTATTTTCTAATTCAAGAAACCACTCAAATTCTTTTAGAGAACAGATCCACCAACTTGTCTAATGAGAACAGTACTCTTTTTCACTGTGTTAGTTATTTTTCTCATTATTCCAATAGAGTCCCTATAAGAAGCAGCTTGAAGGATACAATCCCTTGTGGTTAGAAAGCACAGTAGCAGGAGCCTGAGGCAGCTGGTCATGTGACACCTGCAATCAGGGAGTAAGGAAAGGCCAAGAATGGGGACAGAGCTTATCCAGTCTCTCAGTGACTCACTTCTCGAAAGCTTCCACATCCTGAACGTTCCAAAACAGTGCAAAGTTGTCACTCACTGGAGACCAAATGTCCAAACACATGAGCCTATGGCGAAACATGTCTAAACCACATCCCACATAATATGCTTATCACAAATACAGATTCCCAGAGGCTCCAGTCCAGTCCATCTAACTGCTATTTTATAGCAGATTCTGCACACTACATTTTAGTATTTTTTTTCAACCCACTATCCATTTCATACCAGCCACCTTTGTTTGGCAAATATTGAGGACTTACTGAAGTAGGTCTTACATTATACTAGGTACTATTTCTCTGTAATGATGGACACCAGATTGGCCATTATTCCTGCCCTCAAGGAATTTGAGATTAGTGGGTGATGCAAATGTAGGAGCTTGCAACAGTGAGAAAATGAAATGTAGGGCTACGAAAAAGGAAATGCAAGAAATGTTAAAGCATAGAGGGAGAGCCCTGGTCTGGGTTACCTTAGGTAGAAAATGGTTCCTAATGGCATTCATTAAATCCAAGATTCTTGAATACAAAGGAGGTTGAGGTTTTTTTTTTGGGGGAGAGAGAGAGAGAGAGAGAGAGAGAGAGAGAGAGAGAGAGAGAGAGAGAGAATCAGAAGTTTCAGACTAGCTATGTATACATAGCCTGCACCATACAAGACCTGAGAAATAAAATCAGAAAGTTGCTGAGAAATCGGGAAGGGTGGAGTCCAGAAATACATAAAGAGATTAATCTCTTGTTGTGGTAAAAAAAAGAGAGAGAGAGAGAGAGAGAGAGAGAGAGAGAGAGAGAGAAGAGTTTGCTGGTAGTTTGATAAAGATTTGAAAGCCTTAGGGAAACCAATGGGCTTCATTTTCCTTTCAAAGATGAAAGAAATTTGAAAACAGCAGATTATATTTGAGTCAGATACTATGGAAACCCAGAAGACTTGACACTTAACATTGAGGATCCATTTGAAGTTAGTTGCTTTGGGCATTGCAGGTTCTCATTAAACTAAGTAACTGAATGACCTCACAGCTTTCCCACAGATTCTTCACAAAATTTAATTAATATGAAAACCAGCATTTTTATATGACAAATATCAAATATACAATCTATCACTTTTAAAAATCAGTTCAGTTTCGTCATAATAAAAGTATCTACAAACATATGGAGTAAGTATTCCATATCTGACACAAGACCCTCAGTAGGCTGGATGAATAGTAAGTATACAAGGATAAGTGAAGGGAAGAAAGATATGGTCCAGACTGTACTGCCCCTTACAAACTGATGGCTGGTAATGCACAGCCCCAATAGAGAAGTCTACATGTCACCGCTCACATTTTACCATAGCCTAGAAAATCCTATTTGTGTCTTAAATAGTAGAACAACTTGTTCACTATTCATAAGAATACCACTCTAACTACAGGAGTATTGGTTAGCTATTCAATTAAACCTGACACTTAATTAACTTAATTTAAAGGCTCAATAATGAACAACAGAATGCCAATAAAGTTAAAAATCATACAATATGATAACACCTATTTCCAGTACCTGTGGTCAGATAACAGAAATAGTAATCAATTAGTGCATTACCCATTTTATACCCTTGCCTTATATGGGGTTTACTTCTTTCAGGAGAACTCCACATACAGATTCCACATGAGGGAAAGGAGGAGCTGGATTCACTTAGATTTGTGCATTTAATTTTTGTGAGTTTTAACTGTTAGTATGTCACAAGTATTTCTTTTCTGATTGGTTACCCAAAGCTAATGTGAACCTTATTATGTCTTTTATATAAATCACACTCAAAGCATTTCTATGTGTGCTAAGACTAAATATAACATGTGTTGGCGCAAAATGCCATGAGCATATGAAAACAAGAGACCTATACAGGAAGGGGTTTGGCAAACAGAGAAGTTGTGTCTCCAGTTCACTATCTTTGGTGACCACTTTTCAAAAATGAGTATAAATAAAAATCTTGTAGCTATTACCATATTTCACAAGTTATCTACTCTCCCTTTCACATTAAAAATAATATAATTATTCACATCGTATGATAGACTATTTTTTCTTATGAAGATCCTAGTATCAAATTAAAACCTATTTTTAAAGCTTCCTTAATATAAACCTATTTACATGTATCAACTGACTTATTCAGTTTGAAACGTTAAAGTGTGGAATATAACTTGGCTCATTATTAACAGCTTTTGTTTTGTTCTGAGGGAGGGTCTTTGGCCAGACTAACCTCAAGCTCACTGCTCCATGAACCAAGCTGGTCTTGAACTCACAGAGATACTTCTGTTTGACCCTCCCAAACACTGAAACTACAGGCAGGATCCACCACTCCTGATTATAAACAATAGTTTTTAGATTGTTTTTCAGGTATGAGACAGAACAATATTGTGTATTGTTCTTTGAGGAAGATATGTGACAATTTTTGGAAAAAGAGTTTGAAAGAATCATCTACACAGTATTTGTTATCAAAAAAGAGATATTTCTATGGTAATCAAATATATCAGAAAAGATTTATATGCAAATATAAAAAATCTCAGAAACAATGTTTAACTCCTCATACTGAATACATTAGGTTTACAGTTATTAACACCATTTCACCTAATGGGTCAATGATCTGGTTATTCTATTTCCTTCTTTTAGTCAACTTTTAATCCCTTGCTCAGACACATGGCTTCAAATTGAAAAAGTACAGTTGGATATGAGAAAACATGTTCAAATTAGCATTGTTGCTTTTATGTTTCTGGTCAAATACTGGAAATGGGTTTTTGGTTTGTTTGTCTTTGTTTGGTTGGTTCATTTTTTGAGACAGCATTTCTCTGTCTGTTCCGAGTTGTCCTGGAACTCGATCTGTAGACCAGGCTGGCCTCCAACTCACAAAGATTTGCCTGCCTCTGCTGGAATGAAAGGTGTGCGCCACCACTGCCCAGAGAAATATTGGAAATGCTAGGGACTAAGGATCACTGAAGGACACTGGTAGAATTGTGATATCCTCAGACACTGACATATGCACTAATTGCAGTATGACTGCCAATAGGAGGCATGTTAAAGAACGTTGGTCACTTCAGTGACATCAATACAAGCTGAAGGAATTTAAAGAAATTGTTTATGTATATAGGATTAACTAATGATGAACATTATATTTTTTAAAGAAATACAAATATTGGAAGAAAACAAAGAATTGGAAAATGCTCTGAGAAATATCCAGCTGCCTACAGAGGAAATTAAGAAGCTTGAAGACAGTGAAATTAGTAAGATCTTTAAAAGATTTCTCAAGTGTAGATGTAAAAGGGAACACTTCTCTCACTTAAAAAAATTTACTCAGTAAATGTTATAGTCCAACCCATGTGACATAAGCTCTCATTTAAAATAACATTTCTGAAACAATATTTAGCTTTGTTAAACATAGTATTATGATTATATATACAGTTGATCACCTCCTTCTTCATAGCTACCTCTCAACACTAAAATGTCAGTGTTGAGGTTATCTCATTTGAATTTTAGAATATATGATTCTAGGATTAAAAAGTGTTTTGAGATTTATAGTCATTTGCAAACTAAACCTGAAATATGTAATAAAGTCAATTTAAAATGTATTCTTAATTCTTAATGATTTAACTTGCTATGGGTGCTTTCATGATGTGTATTGTTAAAGAATATAAATGATAGCATACATGTGATAAAATAATCATTCTCTCTTTCTGTTTTCGAAGCTTTGTGGTACAAGATGATTCTTCCTCCTCAGTTTGACAGATCAAAAAAGTACCCTTTGTTGATCCAAGTGTACGTAATGTTTTCCTCAGTGTACAAACTATTTACTGGAAATATGTTGGGTGAAATACACGTTTATGAAAAATAGAATGAACCATTCTCCTTGGTAACAGTTCCTATTGATGCTGTTTTTATATATTCCCCCAACTAATCCGAGTAAATAAAATATGGTTATTTAAAATAGATCGAGGGAGTTTTGAGATTTGAGATGGACTTGCTTGCATTTGTTGTGTTGAATTTCCCTGGGATGGCAAATTGCCGAATGTGTCAGAATACCTTTGAGATAGAGAAACTGCAGCCAAAAAAAATAGTGTAAATCATCTTAACATCTTATGTAATTGAGTTAGAAATGAAATAAAGGAATGGAATACATTTAGTGGAATCACACCCAAAATCAGTGCTGACCTACACACAATTTGCTTAAAACACCATGCATTTTTTTTAGTATATCTTATGTCTGCTTTTAGCAAGTGGCAGGTGGCAGAAATGACGAAAAACCCACACATATTCCTTGAAATGCCAACCCTAGATGTATCCGTTTTGGGGAATAGGAGAGGCTGTGTCCCAAAACAACTTCCTTGTAGCAAACCTCTGGGGAAGCCTGGTCTCCTCTTGATTTACAGCCAGCTCTAATGCCACTGATATCAGAACTTTCATCCCATAATTAATCTGGGAATTGCCAAAGTCAGTGCTAGGCTGCTGCAGGAAACTGGATTTTATAAAGAATTCAGAGATGATTTTTTATTTTCCTTTAGGTATGGTGGTCCCTGCAGCCAGAGTGTAAAGCCTGTATTTGCTGTTCATTGGATAACTTACCTTGCAAGTAAGGAGGGGATAGTCGTTGCCTTGGTGGATGGTCGAGGCACTGCTTTCCAAGGTGACAAATTCCTGTATGCGGTGTACAGAAAGCTGGGTGTGTATGAAGTTGAGGACCAGATCACAGCTGTCAGGTGAGCACCTTCCCATCAAATTGTCCACACACAACAAATGTAGCACAATCACTACTGTGGTTCCTAATGGGGCCCCTTGAACGTGACCGTTGTGACCTACCACTAAGTATTCTCCTAATCATGTTTTCAACTCCTAATGACTGCGTTCTTTTTTAGCCTAGTTTCCTGACTTGGAAAAAAATTATTATTAGTTATAAAGGGATCTTTTGGGGCAAATACGGGACAAATTTGTTCATGGAAAAGGGCTAATATAAGTGCAGAAAAATGCTGGGTAGATATGAGGCATTCCAATACACTTTTATTATTATTACTATGGCTCATGTTTGGAAAAGTGAAAAGAAAAATGTTATATAACTTCAGCAATAATCTTCAGTAAATCAAATACATGAATGCATTCAACCATTGTCAGTCCTACTCTTTAGAGATGGTTCAGATTTCCATCACACTACATGTCCTAGATATTGGGAGTTCATTTGTGATTAAACTCTCTGTCGATTTTTACTATGCTAGCATGAAGGCATATGCCAATTTTCATTTGACCAAAAGCCCCTGTTTTTTGTATAACAGAAGTAATATTATGAAAACATTCAGAAGGAAGGCAGATCTAATTTCTTCTCCCCAGCTGTATTTCTAACCACAGTTTATAATCCCATCATCTTTCTTGAACCTAAAAGAATGTTGTCGGTAAAACTGCTACTACACTGAGGACTCTACAGGGTTTCCCTGGACTCCGATTGCTACAGCGTGAGTAGGTGAAGCTGGGCTAGTTGATTTGTTGCATTCATAGATGCAGATGACTTTGTACATGCAAGAATTTATGGCCAAACACTTATGGTATCACAAGGAAAGGCTATTTAGAATATTCAATGGAAAATTTCTTTTATCCCCTTATTGTTATTAGCAATATTGGTCAACATATACAAAAGAGATTATATTTAACAGCAAGGATATAGGCCTAGACAGCACTTTTTTGCATTTCTGACGCTAATCAAGGCAGAAAAGTTTAGATTCATATAGAGCTAATTTTAAGAATAGGAAGGCAATCATGACTCATGTATTGCAATGTTTCTTCCATTCAGTGAATAGTCATTTATGCACAGACAAAATGTATTCAGTAAAAGCAGTCAATTGTGATCAAATATAGTAAATTAATGATTAAATTGTTAAACAACATCAAAATCTATAATTAACCCCTCACTTCTTGGAGACTGCATGATTCTCACTGAGCCGGACTTTTAATTTGTTACTATTAATTTATTTGGAAGAACTTTGTCCAGTGGAGAAATGGTTCAAATCGAACTCCACTGGGGTAGCAGAGAACTTGATATTTTGCTTTTGTATGTTTGTTTTAGTTTTTGCAGTATTGGAAGCCAAGCCCAGGACCTTGTAAGTATTAAGCAATCACCCGCTGAGCTAAATCCTCAGCTTAGATTTATCAGGCTTTGATGTGCCCTGTCAAAAGTATGAACATATTTGTCAGCCTTCTAATTTTAATTTTTCAGGTGTTTGGTGAAAGGTACATCTTGGGTCTTGTCTGTTAATACTTAAAACTATGCAAAACACCAAGAAAATATAAACCAAAGACTTCCCAAAAGCATGGAGATAAAAATTACAAGTCATTGTTTCTTCAAGTATTTCCTAAGGTTGATAGGCCTAGAAAGATGTTTGTTTTGTCTGTGGTTTAAAGTAATCATAATCATGCAGTCCACCAAAAACAAAATATGTCACGGCACTGATTTATCATCACAAATACAGTACTCAGCAAGAAATGAATTCTTAATTTCCTCTATTGAAAGAATTTGAAACATAGTCTTAAGCCCATGCAAGGATCTTAATGAAAATTGTTATTCCTAGCATTCAATATAGAGAAGACAGAGTCACATATTTTCCCTTCTATCAATTTTGCATTAATACCAACTTGTCTTTGGTACTTAATCGTAGCTGTGCCAGAGGTAGAAACTGGTGGTCATTATCTTCCCTGATTTTTTTTTTCTAGAATGGAATCTAGAGAAAGCCTTCCTGATGCAGGGCAAGCACACAGCCACCCATATGCTCTTAACAAGGGCATCTCAATTTTAATACATGCCTCCATACTACATTCTGTACAAAATGGCACAACTCACAGCCCTTGCTTTAAATGCGTTTATAATTGGGTAATGTGGATAAACAACCTATGCTCTAAGGGGACAGCACTACTTGCAGACAGAACTTTTAGCAAGCTCCACAGTGAACAGAGTGGCTACGTGCCCCATTCAGGCAACACATGCAACAGTAGAGAGAATTCCAGGCCTGGCCTTGGCTTTGTTTGAAATCTCTGTTCCTTGAACATGTGAAAGAGGCCTTGAACCCAATCCCTAAAAAAGGAAAAGCTAAAAAGGAAAGAATACTTATGAATCTGTGAATGATTCACCTCCCTGTCTCTCTAAGAAGTGTTTTAGGAATTACACATCAAACACCTGACCCAAGGAAAAGGGTTTTTTAAGCTCTAGGCTGTCACTGCAAAATCACCCCAGCAATGAAATTGTTTTCCTTGAGTCTCTTATAAAATTTGATATAGGTGAACTTTATACATATGAACAGAAAAGCACGCATGTGTGTTTGAAACAGAAGTAAATACTAGTCAAGTCAAGCTAATAAATTTAAACAAAGTGGAAAATAGAGGAAGAACAGACCAATACAACCTAATAGCTTGTCTATGCATGAGGATGCTTCTAAGGAGACAGATGGTTGTGAGTTCACACGCACTGGTGAAAAAGCAACGTGAGTTCTCTAGGCTCCTTGGAAAACCACACATAAAAGAAAATCATATAACCACACATAAAAGAAAATCAGCTCCACATATTTGCAGTCTATTCGGCATTGTTTATATTCTCATGGTTCTAATTTTGTGCAATTTAAGAGTTAATGGTGAAAATTACATGAGAAAAATTTATATTATCACACAGATAGTGTCAAAAGAAAATTTCTCAAACAGTGCAATTGTTCATTAGGACTCAAGACAACCTTAGCAGAGAATCATTTTAATGTGGAAAAAAATTCGAGTTTAGTTCAATCTCTAAGATGAGAGAAGCATCTTATTCTTTTGTTACTACTACTGTGTTGATTAAACCGTATTATCAATTCTTTCTGATAACTTTCCAGGAAGCTTTTCAGATTTTGAAAGTGAAATTTATTGAGCCTTGTTGATCTCAAAGGGCTCGTATTATCTAGCTAACCTTTAACCTAGTCCTGCCACATTAAGTGTTAATGTTTCATTTCCATGTTAAGCACTACACTATCATTTCCTGTAAATGTCATCCTTTCGGAATACACCTAGGAAGGGCGCGGATAAGAATTTCCTGGCCCCGTGTACATCACCTGTTATTTGCTTTGTGCCCCAGATGTAAGGCAGTATGATTGTTAGCTTCTGGGAGATCATAAAATCATGAGCGATTTTATGGCTCAGGACAGTCTTCCAACACGAGTAGCGAGACAAAAAAAGAAAAAAAAAGAAAAAGAAAGAAAGTATACCTTCTCATCCCTCATTTGGATTTCGAAATTTGTAGGAGAATGGCTGAAGGACCACACATTTTTGCATATTCACTTTCCCTTGATCAGCTTCCACACAGGTAGCAATTTTCCATTCGCTACTCCGTATCTTCCCTGTACACCCAGTGTCCTTCAGAATTCGTGTCGGGTAAGCTGTGACTAACGGGGCCTCTTCCCATCTGTTTGTCCCGGGCATTTGCCCAACTCCTCAATGCGTCAGAAACGTGCATGCTGAGTCGATGTAATCAGAGAAATGGTTGCTATAAAATCTCTTCAAGTAACTCTATGGAGCTGACCAAAAGGGCTCAGAGGTAGAGTGCTAGCATAGTATACCTAAAGACCTAGGTTCAGTCCCCAGCACAACAACAAAAAAAAGGAGAAACATCATTATTCAACTAACAACTGGTGAATTGAATAGAAACCAAAGGCCACACCGCAGTATTTTCTGGGGCTGCCTCACCTTGGTTACCTCCCTTCCACCTGCTTACTGTGGTGTTCTCTAGACCCCGCCCACTCCCATCACACCTTTCTCTCTTGCTTCCTCTCTCTGTTTCCTCTCTCAAGTTTCCTTGAGACTTTATCAACCCATTCCCCCAAATAAGTCTCATTTTCCCTGGAATACTGGAGAATCGAGGTACAAGTGACCGGCATACATTGTTTTGTATTGTCTAGAGGTTCTTGGGACTTTTCAAGGTCGTTTTTTGTTATAGTCCATTATTCCCAAGGAAAAGAATATTTTCAAAAGGTTTTGGAAATATGATGGAGCCAGGCAAATCATTTCAACATTTTAAAGGATACACGTAATTGTCCTTACCATGGTAAATTGGGGGTTCCTGTTTATGAATGGCAAGAAGATCGATTTTTTCTCTGAGTGGGGCTTAAAATAAAAATGGTGGTCATCAAACACTAAGTAAACAAGGGGATACAAATTTAATAAAAACTAATCAGCAATAAAACAGAAATCTTTTCCAAGACCCAAGGATTTGAAAACTTGGTGTTACCTTAGTGGAGCCATTGTGATCTAATGAGGCTATCTGAGGACAGGCTTTGATAACAGGTCTCACTGGGCCTGAGGGCACTAGAATCACTACAGATGAAGAAGAGAGCCTAAGATGATTCTTTTATTCTTTGCAGGGAACATGATAATATTATTTTAATTATTTGTAAATGCAGCCTTATTATGCACGTGTTTAAACAAAGAAATGAAGCGTTTCTATTAAATCTTTGGATTAAATATGCTTGTGTAATGAAGTAAATGTCATGTGTACACAATTAAAATTCTAAAAATTTGTTTCTTTCACTTTAGAAAATTCATAGAAATGGGTTTCATTGATGAAAAAAGAATAGCCATATGGGGATGGGTGAGTTGCTTTATAAGTTCCTGCCTGTTACTCAGTTTGGTAATCCTCGTTTTCTGAAGTGTTTGCTTTGAAGGTTTCTCATGAAATGTCAGTATTGCAACATAATTTAATCTGTCAATAGAAACAGTCAATTTGGATAATATCAGCTCTGAAGTGGTGCTTTTAAATGTTTGTTCCTGTCTTTAATTCAGTTTCTTCTTTGTATAACAAATGAACTCATAATTGACAGATTTTTACTTATTTTTTTGGTGCAAAATTATAGCGTACTGAACTGAACTATGCCTATCAAAGATTGCCTTTCTGATTTTGGGTTTAATATTTATTGTATGTTTTATATTTCATTTTAATGAAAAGCTGAGCTAAGGTTTGAAATTATAGGAACTTTCAGTGTAGAAATTGTTTAGTAGAGGGTAGTCCTACCAGGGCTGTTAGGTATTTTCCACTTCGGGGGACAACTGGATTCTTCTAGTAGACCCAATGTGAACTTCTGCTAATTTGAAGAGAAGCATTCTTTGACTACCTAGCTATTGCTCATAGAGATGACACTCCCCCACGTTTAAGGACTGATGTTATTTATTGAAAATAAACACAAAAATAAGTGGCAAAAGTTATCTATTGTGGGTGGTGAAGTCACTGTCCACTCTAGAGAAATACTGAAGAGAGTTTAGGTTTGCCCATTATAAATTATAATTACCCTCCAAAGAAGTGTCTCTGCTTCACTTTTTGGTCTGAATTTGTACATTTGAAAGTCAATTTGCAGCCGGTTGTGCTTGGGTTGTTTTTCTTGGCTGTTTTTGCTGAAATGGGACTGTACAAGATGGAGGGAATGAAACACAACATTGAAAGGAATTTGCAGAATCCAGCTCAACTCCCAGCTCAGTGACCAGATGAAGGTCTGTTAGGAATTTGGAGAAAGTTGTTATTTCAAGCCATTTGGTCCTTCTTAAAACCATCAAATGTTAGGTATCTAAATAGAATGGGATTCAAATGCATAGAAAAAAAGTGAAATATTTTATAGGGGAATATTTCAGATAAGACCTTCCCTACTATCCAATTTTGTGAAATTCCTAAAGTAATTCTTGGACACAGTCTCATTTTAAGCAAATAATGTGTATTAACATTTTGCTTAGAGCTATGCTTTGATTTTGCTGTGGGACTCTGAGTATCTATAAGCTGGAACTTTTCATTTCATTTATAGAATATGGTTATATATTGGTTTGGTAGAGACTCTTCTATGTAGGATGATTGAAAACCCACGCATCACCCATCATTCATGTCAGCCAGAATCCTTCCATAAGAGACTTGTCCCATGTCAGATTGTGTAAATGCCATCGAAAGAAATAGTGCATTAGTCTTCCTGCACTGCTTACTCTCTCACGTGGCAGTGGTCATGAAGCAGACTTGAAGAGCATGTTTGAAAGAAGAAGACAATGAGGGGATTGCCACTGCCTGCCATGCCAGAGTAGATCCCAATCAGCTAGAGGAAACATGTGCAAAAGGACATACTACTATGCTTCTTTTGTATCAGTTCTTCAAGCTTTGGACATGTCCATTCTTATTAACCCATATGTCTGATCTCTGACTCATCCATCCCTTCATCCTTGTAAATTATCATTATATCTTAATTAAATATTGTGCTAGGCAATTTATTTTAATTTTTTCAGACATAGTCTCATGAATCTCAGGTTAACTTTCAACTACCTAAATATCTAAGAATGACCTGGAGTTTCTGATCTTCCTGACTCCATCTCCCAAGTGCTGGGATGATGGACATGCATTACTTTTCCCAGTTCTATGTGGTATTAGATATCTAACTTGGTCTTCTCATATGCTAAGCAAGCCCTATACCAACAGAGCCACATCTCCAGCCTTCGTGCTAGGTTGTTTATTGACAAAAGGATGAATAAGTTATACTTTTGACCATCATATGGGTGAAGAGAGTAGAAAAACAATAGTTTATCAAGGGACATAACTCATTGTACAAAACAACCGAAAGAAAAGTTGTTACTTGTGGTTGTGAGAGCTAATAGAGATGTCAGAAATGAGTCCGGGTCTTTGATAGGCAAAAAATAGCTTAGTAAATGGGCATTTCAGAATGTGAAGACCACATTTATCCTGGTCTTGACAAAGCAAAGAAGTATGAGTAAGTTGGTTAGGAATATGTTAAACTTTGAAAGTCTAAAGAATTATAAAGAAAACTTTGAGATATGGCAGGAAAAGTAGCCCATCAGATAACAAGGACATACTAGGCCACATGAAGGGGACTATGTGTGGCTTTTTGCATTCTGTCTCTCTGTGATCATCACAGTCTATAAGTTCTTGAAATGTTAGTATGTTTCTGAGCTTGGCCTTAACCCATCCATCAATATTCTGTAGGTCATTGGAGCAAACCGTGGTTTCAAAGATGATGATGGTTGGCCATTTGCTTCCACTTTTCTTCTGAGTCTTATATTTCAGTTGTTTAGCAGTCATCTCTCCTTCAGGTGACTTTCATGGGCCTTAAGCTTCATTTCCTACAAACTAACCTTAAAACAAGCCTTCTTCATCATTGAAGACCTTTATCTACCGAGTCATCCAAATTAGAAAGCTCCTATCTTTAACCTCCCCCTGAGTCCCACATTCTGTTGATTAGTGAATTCTTCTTTCTACTTTTAATAGCTAAGTAGCTATTGCCCTCCCCAATGACCTTATTTGATTTCAGTCTCTTCAAAAGTCACTAAACCAGCACTTCTCAAACAAGCTTCACCCAAAAAGACTGTTCTTATTTTTGTTTTTGTTTTGTTTTGTTTTTACAAATGAATAATTTTTATTTAAATTCTTTAATTACCACTCATATTTACATATCCATCTCCCCACTCCCTTGCCCTTCTATCCTCCCATGTTCCCAACAAACCCCCTCAACCCATCCCCCAACTCTTCCCCAGGGACAGTGAGGCCCTCCACCAGGGACCTTCAAAGTCTGTCATATCATTTGGGGGAGGGCCCAGGCCCTCCTTGTTGTATCTGGGCTGCAACGGTATTCCTCCTTGAGAATGGGCTCCCAAAGTCTATTTGTGCTCTAGGGTTGATGACTGGCTCCACTGTCAGAGGTCCCATAGACTACTCTGGCCTCCTAGCTGGCACCCACATTCAGAGGGCTTGGTTCTATCCAATGCTGTTTCTCCAGCTTTATGACTAGGGTCTCCATGCTCTCACTAGGTCAGGTGCACTGTTTCTTCAGGTCTCTCCAGGCCCATCTTGGCTCCTTTGCTCATCCTTCCTCCCTCTCTACAACTGAATTCCAGTAGTATGGCTCAGTGCTTAGCTGTGGGTGCCTGTTTCTGCTTCCAACAGCTACTAGATGAAGGCTCTAGAAATGTTAACCAAGGTAGACACCAATCTCATTATAGGGGAAGGGCATCAATAGCATTTTCTCTACCACTGCTTGGATTCTTAGTTGGGGGTCATCCCTGTGGATCCCCTAACATTTCCCCTGTTGCAGACCTCTCTCCAAACCTGTACAGTCTCCCTCTATCAAGGCATCTCCTTTCTTGCCCTCCTCTATTCCTCCCTGTCTCAGTTCTCTTGTTCTCCTCCCCCTTCCCCCCGAAAGCCTGTTAAAAACAGTTTCCAGATCCTTTCACCACAGAGTCTACTCAGGCTCAGAATTTGCCTTCCTGACGTATTCTAGTCAATGCTAGATTAATTTTGATTAATAACAGTTTATTAAGTTATTTAATTGTTTCTTAACTGTCAACTTTGGCTAGGCCTCACAAACTCCAATGTTGCTTAAAAGGTTGTCATTCTAAGGCTTTTGGTTTGTTTTTTGTTTTTTATTCTTTTGTGCTTGCTCCTGCAGTGTGTGTGTGTGTGTGTGTGTGTGTGTGTGTGTGTGTGTGTGTTACATTATATAATGAACTTTGATCATTTCCACCCTCTATTACCCTCTCTGATTTCCTACCATCTTCCTCCAAATCCATCCTCCCAACAAGCCCACCTCATACTTGCATGCCCTTTGGGGCTTTTTGGGGTTTTTGTTTGTTTGTTTGTTTTTTGCTTTTTGCTTTTTGACTCACCGTTTTATTTTTAATTGAGCCTGCTTGAATTACCATGAGTTATGGATAATATTTCAGTGGTTATACCACTAAATAAAATGGCTCCTCTCTTCCAGTAATTATTAACTGCCAATCATCCCACAGAGGGTAAGTTTTCATGAACCCCTCTCCATATATCATGAAATGTTGATAGACCCAATCCTTTGCAGATTTTTTTTTCAGGTTAACCACAGTTACTTTGAGTCCATTAACACAATATCCATGTCAGCAACTTATCCTCATCTTTGGTCTCTAAATTCTTTACATCTTCTCATCCAGTCTACAGTGTTCCATGAGCCTTGAAGGAAGTGGTCTAAATGGCACTTACTTGTCCTTATTCTCAGGACTTGAGAATCTCCACATTAACTATTGCCCACTCCAAAAGTAAGCTTCCATGACAAAACTTGGAGAGCAGTGCTAATTTGTGGGGTATATCATTTTTAAAGTGATGTCAGATAACATGTCCATTTAGCAAGACAACAGAAGCAGAATCCACCTTTTGACCTTCTCAGCCGCATTCTCTTGAGCAGGCCTAGAGAGTGGAGTGAGCCTCAAATCAAATCAGAAGACTGTTAAATCCATAATAGTCATTCCTCTATTGTACCAGGGCACACATTACCTAGCAGATCATTGTTACAGTGAAGCACAACTTTTAACATGTTATTTATATTTCTATATATACAGATATATAGATATAGATATATAGATATATAGATATATAGATATAGATATTCTAGAATACATAGCCTTGTATGCAAGGTCCTTGGCAACCTCACTCATGCTACTTTTTCAATCTTTTTTCTTCCAAATTTTATAAATATCCAAACAATGGTTGTGCTTTGCTGTTCCTATGTTTTATAAACTTCCTAGAAACACTTCCATGCACTTCCTCCATTACTCACCTTTTCCTCTCTAAAATAGAAAACATCTTATTCCTGAAGATCCAGCTTGACACAACAACCTTTGGGTTGCAGTAAGTTTGTATTCTTATAGAAATTGGCATGCTTTATCAGCCTACTCATTTTTCCCAAAAGTATTTGGGATACTCAAGAGAATGGATTGTATCTTTATTTTTCTCAGATTTCTTTTCTCAAATGTTAAGCAAAATATGAAGCCATGTCAAGCATCTCTGATATTTAATTTAAAGCTGAATTTAATCCTATACCTTAATGTTCTCCCAAAATTTGTCCCACTCCTATCAAGAGATTTCTTTTTCAGGAAAATATTCTGTGGTCTAGCCATTTGGAAAACAGATGTTCATTTAGAATAGTGTGTTTAGGCCCCATTAAAGACTGGTTTAAAAAAACTGTTAATTTTTTTTGTTGAACACAAAAGTATTTTATTCCACAATTATTTATTCCTTCTCTTTCCACAAAAACAGTGTGAAAACAGATGTTTTCATGGACATCTCTATGACAAGTGCTGTTGTCCTTAATAATAAATACCACTGTATTGGTGTCTTGGAAATATAATGTCATAGAACAGAAGATGGTCTGAGGATAGAAAGGGGCTAGAATGTTAACACTAGGCACAAATTGCAAAGGCCTGCAGTTAGCCAGAGAGGCGGGAGATGAGAAGAGACCATAGGCTTTTCCCTTACAGACTAATATTTCAGAGACTATTGGAAACTGGAGATGTGAATGACAAAGACATTAAAAATGATCACAATAGCCTCTCAGGTGTTAATGTTTGATATCAGGAAGGAAGGAATCTTTTCCTGTGAGACAGTAGGTATTTCTGTGGCCTGTCAAATAGGTCATGCCCAACCCAACAAATGTTATTTATAATTGATTTGTAAATAAGCTTCAAATCCTACATTTTCTTCCAAGATATGGATTTTTTAAAGGAGAAAGAAACATTTTCAACACCACTTTTCATTAACTGGATCATATAACCAAAGATTTATAGCCCTCATTTTAGGCAGTTGCTAAATATCTGCTGTGTTTCCATCATAGTGTTTAAGAAGTGCTTGTTCACTTAGTAATTACTGATGGGAAGTATTTTGTCTGTGGGACATTTAGCAATACTTAGAGACATTTTAGGTTTTTACTCTAGAGAAAGGCTATTGGCATGTGCGACAGAGAACAGGGTGAAATTGAAATGCTCAACGCTGCTCAAGAAAGCTATAGCATCAATAGTGTTAAAATCATTGAATTCAATGAAAAATGAAGCAATTATTCTTACTGTTCAGGATCAGGGAGAGATTTGCCCAAACTATTAGAAGAAGCTACATTTTGAGGCTTTGCTTTGTTAGTATAGACCTAGCCAGGTGGTGTTGAATAAGCATCAGTTCATTATTTAATCTTAGTTCCTTACTCTTGCAGTGACTAATTATAAGCAATGTGAATTGCTATGTGAGAACGATGCAAATGTAGAATGAATACACTTCTAATGAGAGACCACGTTAGACTGTATTTTTTCTGCCCGAAGAAGTTGCCCTGGTATGGGAAGACAGGAAATGCCATGGGTTGCTGAGACAGACAGTCTTTTAGATTTGACCCCCAACTCTGTTTTATACTGATGCCACAGCCATTGTAAATTCACTCTGAGTTACAGCTACTCCGTTATGAAATGTATTAACAGTTTCTTCCCGTGGTCACTGCGTGGATTGCAGGAGATAGAGTGGAATCATATTTCCAGTAAATATGTACTTGATCCCTCCTGAATATGAGGCCTTGATTTTCAGTGTTGGGAATAGATCCATAAGCAAAACAAACAAAAATATCTACTCATGAAGTCGGAGAATAGTGAAGGAGAAACTAAGAAAGGCAAATAAGTACAATACAAAATGTCGAGCGGTGGTAAGGGATATTTTTTAAAATGCAAAATAAAACAAGAAAAGAGAGTAGAGAAGGGGCAATACACTTGCATGATTCGAAACAAGACCACTGTAGATGTCTTTGGAAGTGACATTTGAGTTAAGACCTGAAGAATAGAGAACAAGGCTTGAGGACAGGCACTTTCTGGGCAAAGAGCTTATCCAAGCAGAAAGTCACAGCATTTGCAAATGTCCTGAGGCCAGACCCTCAGACAGAGTTTGAAGAACAACAAGAGATCCAAGGAACAAAGTGGTAGAAAGGAAAGGCTCGGGAGGCGATGCTGGGTGGGTAAGGATGGACAGATGGTAGGGAACCTCAAAGAGCATATCAGTGAACTCCTGGGACAGATAAGTGTTAGCTAGTTATTGTTATTGTCGGAAGAAAAAAGTCCCAATGTGTATGACAGCTTAAATAAGAACATACATACCCCTGTTTTAAAATTCTGTGCCCTTCCAGGAATGATTTTAAAAGCATCCTTCATTTAAACAAAATGGCAAGCCATCTAAGTGCAAAGGACACAATTCTAGAATTCTCTTGGCCAATCTGCTCTGTGGGTTCTTTTCTTACAGCAGCCACCCACTCTGCCGAGGAGCCCCCACTCCTGAGAGAGCAGAGAAAGTCAGTGTGGGCTTTTTCTCCCCTCTTCATTTCTACAATAGGACTAGCTTTTCCATGCCACCCGGGCACTTAAAGCATAAACTTCTCTCTGTGTGCTGAGGATACAGTATGATTTTGCTATTACTAATTCCTGAACAATATTTGTATTCTACCTTAAAACAGAAAAAAATATTTTTAAACATGGTGCTGTAAAACCTAATCCTCAGTTAGTACATATTAATAATATCTAAGGTTCTGGACACAAATGTTCAAGAAGATTTTGATATGTAGTAGGAATTTCAATGTCATACCATACTATGCTCTGGAACACGGACAGGGAAGGCCATACACATTCTTTTAGTAAATACTCTTTTACAATAAAATCATAAACAATGGTGTTTAATGAAGTTCTCAGATTTACTCTGCTCTCATTTGAAATTGAAATTAAAAGAGGGAGGAAACCGTCTCCATCTAGGAGCAGTCTTGCTGTCCTACTAATTAAAGCAAATTATTTTCATAAGTGAAATTTCAAATCATATAGAGAATTTCACTTACCAAAGTGATTTTTAAAATCCAAATGTTCCTTCTGCTTTTAAAATATATTTTCCCCTATTAAAACCTAGTTCTCCAAATATAATAAAAAAAGAGGCCATGGTATAATTGGAGTAGCCTATTTTATTCTGTGTTTTGCAGCTAAAGGCCCTCAATAAAATTCCCCAAATATGGAAACATAAAACCACAAACTACTTAGAGGATTCTTCATTTAACTGTTAAATTCAACAAGATTCTTAGCTAGGCTTCCACTACTTATATCTCTTGGATTAAGAATGGGCCCGCTTGCCCCCTTAGGCCCCCCATCCTTCTGTAAATACTAACAGATTAGGAGAAGGTGTGATTTGCATGACCGCAGGGGAAAGTTGCAGGGTCCCATGTGATGTGGACAGGTGTCCCTGCATCAAGGCTCACAAAAGCACAAGAAATGACTTTCTAATCTCCAGTGCATTGATTTTAGTCCATATCCCAGAGGACTACTTAGTCCATGTTCCCAGGAGTAGCATTTCTTCCAGGCCTATCTGTATAGGCAAGCTTTACTTTCCAAGAGGAAATTAAACCCCCTCGTTATATCCTATTCATTTCTTTACATCTTTGAAAAAACTCAACTGGCTAAGTCACATGGAACTTCTCTGTGAGGGATACTGTTCCTGACACACCCACCCCTGATCTCTTGGGGAGAGAACTCTTTGAGACCTAAACTACTCCCATCTCCTTTAGTATTTCTTTACTCTTTTGTGAAATTAGTAAGAAGAAATAAAAGGTTTTGAGGGACACCAACAATTTTCCTTTTTTTAAGCTACTGTGTCAGAATGCCTCAAATGAGCATATGCAACTACACAGCACAAACGCCGGCCATGCTCTGTTCATGAATGAGGCAAAAAGGTAGCTACAGATTCTGCATCACAGGACTTCTGTGAACTTTGGAAACTATCTTACATTTGCATTTGCAAACAATTTCCTTTTTCTATACATCTCTTTCAAGTAGAAGCTTGGGCTTTTTTGTGTGTTTGTTTGTTTTCTAACAAAGTGCTAGTTAGAAAGAACTAAAAGAAGTTTTGTGTCTTTATAGAAACTTTGTAATTATATTTATCTCTTAAACTTTGCCTACCCTGTATTCAGGGAGTCTGATCAGGACATTAATTTCTTCCTTATATAGCAGAGCTAAAATTACTAGTGGTGCTTGCTGCTAGAGTGCAAGGTGGGCATTGAACCTGTGCTATGCATACCCTCATCTCCCCTCAGTCTTTATTGTTAGTAACTTCATTTTAAAAACAAAAAGAAACTTGTGAGCACATATCTGGGACTGACCAATAACAATGTCTCTGCAGTCCTACGGAGGTTATGTTTCATCCCTGGCCCTTGCATCCGGAACGGGTCTTTTCAAATGTGGAATAGCAGTGGCTCCAGTCTCCAGCTGGGAATATTACGGTATGGAAACATTTCATAAATGTTGCCGTGAAAACATTTAACACATAATTACTCTATATTTGAGGTTGCTAGGAAAACAAATTATGCAGTAAAGTTCACCCCAGCATCACTGGAGAAAATATAATCTATAAACGAGGTTGTTCATATAACCCATTATTATCTTGCTATAACCACCTTTAGTGGTTGAGGTCTTAAGAGGAAGAACTCTTCAGAAATCTGGTGTATCTTATTTTCTCCCAGAAAAAAACTGAGTCCCTGTTGAAACAAATGTTTAACACCAGAGCTAACTCTGTTTTTGAAGGCACATAACTCCAGCAATGGTGGCTTTTAAGCATATCTTTTGCAAAGTCAGGCTGGGGGCCAAGGAATAATTCACCTTCACACTACAGTGTGTAGCCCAACTCCTTTACTTCACAAGTCAGAGAAAAATGTGGTGTGTGTGTGTGTGTGTGTGTGTGTGTGTGAATTGGGAAATGTCCATTCTTGTGTATGCCTGTTTTTATGATTAACCTCAATGCAGAATGCTTATTTGAAATTAACTTTAATAATTATGCAAAAATGAAAAATAGATTCTTCTAGATTCCCTTTCCCATGCTGGAGTAAAAGTGAGACATCGATGCTGTACAAGGAACCTTCTTTATTCAGAAAGATATGTGTTTGTGTGTTTGAATGTGTGTGTATGGTATTGAGTCGAGTAAGTCTGGGAGACACATTTTCATCCCAGATGCAACCAGACACCAGTGAAGGGACCAGAGGTGGTGGATTTTGCAGTTTAGTTTTAAAATATAATGAGGCCATTCCCATCTCAACATTCCCCCATGGAGTGCATTTGAAAAAGCTTAAGAGCAGCCTGTAAAAGGAAAGGCTCAGATACTCATGTTTCCATAATTGTCTGCATTGTTTCTCGAGCCTCAGTAAGGTGAGCTGCAGAAAGGACACCTTCATTGAGGACAACCATAATATCAAGTAAAACAAGAGCATGCTTCAAGGGCTCCACATGGGAGAACTGGGGAACAATTACTAATGTAGGAGTTACATAAGGCATGAGATGATATGTATAAAGTGGAAATAACACATCCTTCTGTATTTTCACAGCATCTATCTACACAGAGCGATTCATGGGCCTCCCAACAAAGGAAGATAATCTCGAGCACTATAAAGTAAGCATCTACCCTGGTATCTAGGTCACTAATTTATTTCAAATGTGTTAAGTCATTTTAAAACAGTGATTCCGGGTTTTGCAGATTCAGTTCTAGATCCCCAGGCAAAAATTAAGATCTTTTGTTCACTGGAATGCATCACTAGAATGAACTTTTACTCTTTGGGGATTCTATTCTCCCACCATCCTCCTCCCCCTAACCTCCCTTTTCTCATCTTCCCTCCCCACCCCCAATGCCTACACAGCTTGAACGGGCATCATTTATGCCTAAGGTCTCACTCATATGTAACATATGACACATAAACTTTCAGTTTCTCAAGCTAAGAATCAGATGGAAGTAATGCAAATGATGATGAAAATGTGTTGCTCTGACTCTTAAATATTTATCAACCAAAGCAATACATAATTTCAGTATTGGTGCGAAGTCCATTGCACAATGATTTAGCTAGTTTTCTATTAGAACTTGCAGCAACTAAAATGTTAATTTTTCTTCTTTTCCAGAATTCAACTGTGATGGCAAGAGCAGAATATTTCAGAAATGTAGACTATCTTCTCATCCACGGAACAGCAGATGGTGAGGTTTAAGCAAGACTCTTACACATAAAAATACTGAGCCAGCATCACTTTGTTTAAGAAACATTAAGCATCTTCCTATGCCTGTGCTCAGGGTCAGTACCTAAGAGTCAGGGACATTTCCATATCTAAGCGTGATCACTCACTGCTGACAATGTCAAATGCATGACTAGATAATTGTTGGTGTTCATTTCCAGGCAGTACATTGTCACTCTAGGCTTTCTGGTATTTAGCAGCACTTTAACTCTCTCTCTCTCTCTCACTCTCTCTTTGTTGCAGATAATGTGCACTTTCAGAACTCAGCACAGATTGCTAAAGCTTTGGTTAACGCACAAGTGGATTTCCAAGCCATGGTACATGATTCTGTCTTACCCTTGTTCATGGTCTTTGACCACCAAGCTAAAAGAAAGGGGTCTTGCATAAACTTATATAGTTATTTATTTAGTATAACCTGAAAACACAGCTGGTGAGTAGAAAAGGCAGAATATAAGTAAACGAATCAGACTTTTTCTGAATCCCTTCAAGGACTGGAGGTAAGCCAAACCACCTATGTCATATAAAATGACCCGAATCATATAAAATGAAGTCATTTATAAGATTAAATGTCTCAGGTAGTTAATGGTTCTGCAGTCCTGTGTGCTTAAGTGTAGGCACATCAGAGTTCCTCCAGAACCTAGGAGTCACAGAGCAGCTAAAAGGTTCTGCTTATTCAGTAAGAAGAAATTGTGAAATGTTACCAGAATCTCAGTGAATTTCCACACTTCCATTCAGCCAGAGATCAGTTCATCTGTGTGTGCTCAGTGCCTGGCACACACATTCCAGGTTTCAAGAAGAATGAGGAATGGGATCCGAGGAGGCAATAAGGCCAAGAGTTAGAGCAGCCATTGGTAGCTGAGGTGCCCCTGCTTCAGTAAATATATTTTCTCCCTCAATTGCTTGTATTGGACAGGACTCCAGGAAGGGAGTTCCTCAGCTTTTAGAAGTTTGTAATTTTTTTTTTTTGGTTTTTTCCAGACAGGGTTTCGCTGTGTAGCTTTGAAGCCTATCCTGGCACTCGCTCTGGAGACCAGGCTGGCCTCAAACTCACAGAGATCCGCCTGCCTCTGCCTCCCGAGAGCTGGGATTAAAGGTGTGAGCCACCAACGCCCGGCTAGAAGTTTGTATTTTTAAAATGTAATTTACAAGAAGTGAGATGAGGTTTTTATGGCCTTTGTTTATTGTGACTTCCTAAAAGAAATTCAACTCAGTAAATTTTATAGCATTACATCAACCTTTGCCACCCTTATTCAATGAAGACAATAATCCTACTGGAATCTCTCCAACAATAAAGTTTTAAGTTATATTATCCCCCTTTTTTTCTTTTACAGTGATTTTTTAAGTCCTACAAAATGTATTTATGATTATATGTAATATACTACTTTGTGGGTTTTTCTAAGACAGAATTAGATTTATAGGTCAAAGCTTCATGGAACTTTTGAGCTACCCACTATCCCTAGAGAAAATTAAATACCATGTTTTTTACTTTTCACATGAAAAACCAAAATGCTAGAGAACCAAAGTAACAGACCCAGTGTACCAGTTCTGGGAGCCAAGACTCTTGATTCTAGTCCCCAGGATGCTGGCCATTAGAACAGCTCACCCTCTAGGAGGTAAAACCTAAAGTTGAAGATTATAAATGGTACTGGATATTGATAAGAACTCTACTTTCTCTTGCTCCAAGTGTTTGCCTGCGAATGATTGTATTTATTAAAAGGTTCTTAAAAGAATCTTCCAAAACATATTAGGAAACTAACTGTGATTTTAGAGCACAAGAAAATCAAAGCTAGGTGTGTTTTATAGCTCTAGGAATAAAACATGTTCTTTCCATTGTGTTGCAGTGGTACTCTGACCAGAACCATGGCATATCCTCTCGAGGGTCCACGAAGCACTTATATATCCACATGACCCACTTCCTCAAACAATGCTTTTCTTTATCGGACTGAATCAACGCAGGTATTAGCCTATATCACAGTCTGAGAGCCTCACATGGATGACTTGTACCCATGGATATTATCAAGGCCGCTGATCATCTAGGAGGGCTCAGAAGTTCAAGCTCAATATTGTTTACATTTTCTTACACTCTGTGAAAGGAGAAGGTAAAAAAGAGCCACAAACACATCTCACTTTGGACACAATGTTCTATCTCCTGTTCACTTCAGGGGAAATAAAGTCAGCAAGTTCAAGTTATGTCATGTCGTTTGTGTGCACTAACTTCAGGCTCTGTGCCCTGATGTGGAAAAATGCTTCTTTAGGAAAATTATATGACTAATATGGTGATCATAGAGGATAAACTTGGTGAAGTTTGGGGTTTTGTAATGAGAACCCAAAATACTGGGACAAATAGCATAGAGTACAGAAAAGCACAGCTTAGAACATGCAATGAATCAGGTCTGAGATGTTTGCACTTTCTGCTGTCCCTCCAAGAAATGTTTATTAATTTTAATTCCAAAGATTTCTCCAGCATTGCCAATGTGTTGCTATAAAGCTGGACTTTTGAATCCAGGCCCCTTTTAAGAAATATACTAGGCACTAGGGAAATTCCCAGAAATCCACAAGGATGACCCCAACTAAGACTCTAAGCAATAGTGGAGAGGGTACCTGAACTGACCATCTATTGTGATCAGATTGAAGACTACCTTAATTGTCATCATAGAACCTTCATCCAGTAACTGATGGAAGCAGATGCAGAGATTCACAGCTAAACACTGAGCTGAGCTTCCAGAGTCTAGATGAAGAGAGAGAGGTGATACTATGAGCAAAGTGGTCAAGACCACGATGGGGAAACACACAGTAACAGCTGACCCAAGCTGGTGGGAGCTCACTGACTCCAGACTGACAGCTGAGGAACCTGCATAATACTGAACTAGGCCCTCTGAATGTGGGTGACAGTTGTGTGGCTTGGGAAGCTTATGGGACCACTGGCAGTGATACCAGGATCTATCCCTAGTGCATGAACTGGCTTTTTTGGAGCCCATTTCCTGTGGTAGGATACCTTGCTCAGCCCAGATACAGGGAGGTGGGGCTTGGTCCTGCCTCAAAGTGACAGATTTATTGACTCCCAATGGGAGGCATCACCGTTTCTGAAGAGTAGATGGGGGTCCTTGGGGGGGGAGGTAGAGGAAGAAGTAGGAGGGAAGGGAGGAGAAACTGGGATTGGTATGTAAAATAAATTTTAAAAAGAAATCATTAAAATAAAAATCCATTAAATTTGGAAGTTACATTACTTTGAATCTCTGTAGAATTAGTAACAAACTCTACCTGAGATTACTGTTAAATTAACAAAAATAAAATGAATAACAATAGCTAAACAAGAAAAATTTACATCTCTAAGGTGTTTCTAAAGTTTTACATTCTAAATTTCATTTCAAAAATAGAAAGCTACAATGCCTATCATCAATCAGAAACTTTGGGTAGCTTGCCATCTCTGCAGTTGCCTCAGAATTTAAAAAGAGACACCGTAAGACACCAGCAGATACACAGGAATGAATTTGGAAGCATTCAGTAAGCATCCTCGAGGACATGCCTGGAGATTTCTAAGCAGGGAAATGACCTGATTGGATTTGTCTTTGGAACTTACTTACAGAAGCAAAGGTCTGGGACTCACAGTTACTTTCTGTGCATCAATATAGAAACTGGCCTTTCAGAGCCCACAAAAATGTGAAACTCATTGATGTCACAAGATTTCTGATGGTCATCTTGTTTGTATCTCTTAGGCAGAGTACATGAGGGAGCAGAAAATATGAGTCAGGGGAAGAATACACGATAACAAGAATGGAGATATAATAGAGGGAGACACTTTTGGTTTACAGAGAAATCAGGCACTAGGGAAATGTCTGGAGATCTACAAAGATGACACCAGCTAACTATCTCATCAATGGAGGAGAGGCTAACTCAAATGCCCTCCCCTGATTATAAGATTGATGACAGACTTATATGCCCTCATCCAGCAGCTGGTGGAAGTAGAAGCAGACACCCATAACTAATCACCGATCTGAACTGGAACCCAGATGCAGATAGCTGGAATACCAGAACAGGACTGATCCAGACCCAAGGAACATGGGTTTCTGTAGGAAACCTCGGAAATCTACGGGACCTCCTGTAGAAGCCCAGTATTTATCCCTAGCATAGGTGTGGACTTTGGGAGCCCAGTCCATATAGAGGAATACTCCCTGAGCCAAGACACACGGGGGGTGGCCTAGGCCCTACCCCAAAGGAAATGAAAGACTCTGATGATACCCTATGGAAGGTCTCACCATCCAGGGAGAGCAGAGAAGATATGTGACAGATAAGGTTGTGGTTGGGGGGGGGGCGGGTAGGGGAGGACGGGTGGGAGAAGGGAAATAGGATTGTCATGTAAAACAATCCTGTTCCTAGTTCAAATTTAAAAAGTTGGAAAAAATAAATAAATAAACACGTGCAGCTGAGATTTTTGTCAGAAAAGAATCTTCAAGATTTCATTTGTAATATTATGGAGAGAAAACAAGAATAAATGTTCCCAAATTTACATATTATGAGACTCAGTTCTCCTTTCCCTTCAAAAAAAAAGAAATCTCCAGGCATCTCCCCATCTACTAAAGAATCTCAACCACACGGCACCTTGACACAGGGAGCCTTTGGCAGTCTTTCCCATGCAGATTTTTTCCTAACCTTTCTCCAGTCACAAGCCTCCATAAGACCCGAATTTCTATCCTAATATACCACATTCCTTCACATCACACCACACTGTGAAAGTCCAATCTATCCACTAGCCATTTGTAGCTATATTAAACGATTAAAAATTAGATGAAAATAAAATGCAGCACTTTAACCATACTTGCCACATGGAGTAGTAGGTACCATGGGAGATACTGCAGATACAGGCTACTTACATCAACACAGAAACCAGTAGTGAATAGCCATATCTAGAGCAATCTCCATGGCCAAATCCTACAACATATAACAGAGAAAGTTCACCAGCAGTTGACTAAATTCACACCTCTATAGTCATGGGAAATAGAGGTTTTCTGCATCCCTTTTGATGGAGCTTAGCCTGATCCCCAGGTAGAAAAATCTAGGTCTTCCATGGGACTTTCACTATATATATGTTCATTCATTGACTGGTTCATTCAACAAACATTTGTTGAATCTGGCTGTGTACCAGACATTGCAATACGCTGAGGAGCGAAAGGCAGTAATTTGACTAGAAATTGTTTAATATTTACATTTTATTCTGCTTCGCTAGATTTTCCTTTGGGCTTGGAAGAACTGAAGGGCTGTGAAGGACAATGGAAGCTATTTTAAACAGAAAAATGCCAAATTAAATGGATTCTTCTAGAACATCATACCTCTTTTTCAAAAAAAAACTAACATACTAATATTTCTATTTTTCCCCATTTTACTCTTGAATGCATTTGGAGAAGGATGTCTCAATGTTACAAAGAGCACACTACAGACTAGCCACTTATCACAACCAAGAAATCACTATTTCATGTACTATGGGTGACTAAAAAAAAAACAAAACCTTCTCACAGAGTAAGAGGAAATTATAAAGTGTCTAAAAAACAACATTCTCATTTCCCCCACTGTAGTACTGACCCTGTAACTACCTAAAAAGGTTTCAAAATTTTAAATTATAATGTAATATTTCTTAGAAAGAGTGAGCAAACAGAAGCAGGTACATGAGAAATTGAGTTAAACTTAACACAAATGAAGGAAGTTCTAGTGACGTTTTAACTTTTAAAAAGCTCTACCTCAGAGTACAAAGTGTATTATTTATTTCCTTCAAGGAGCACTTATTGAATCCCTGTGTTGGCATAGTGTGTGTACTTCAGGGGTTACAAAGATGAACGTATGTGACAATTTCTCCATTTGTAGGCTGTTTCAGTAAAGGCGACTTAACGAATCTGATTTTCCCAACATTTAAGCATTTTTTCAGAAGCTGACAGATCTTTATGCAAATGTTGTTGCCAAGCTGTTTGTAATGGTGAAATTATACTTTGACAGTAACTCTTTAAAATATATTAAACCCAGCTAAGGTTTTTTTGGAAATGTTGCCAATTAAGTGACTTTAATGAGCTTCTTGATGGTAATGTAATTAAAATTCAGATGTTCTAATTGTTTAAAAAAATTAGTTCTGGGAAAGTAAAATAAGCAAATGTAAAATGAATTAGGACTAATTTAAATGGTGATTATGTGGTCTTCTTAGAAGATTATACCAAAACAATGCTTTCAATTATGCTGTTTGTAAGGAAGAAATAAGGCACCTAACAGAGATTTCAAATTGAATCAATAAAGCAGATATTCTGAGCTCGTCCAGTAAGACAGATTGAAAGATTCTGAGTGCAATACATCCTTTGCAGCTTGAGAAAATGTTGTTGCAACACTTTCTCAGCATAACGGACAGGTACCTTGGCAATTTGATGTGGGATAATTTTTAATTCATGGAGACATTAGTGCCTGAACCTCGCCAAGCTATTCAGGGAGAAAATTATCTGGCTTGCAGCAAAAGTCCCTAATGACCACCTGCTCGGATCTTTGGCATGCAGTCCCAGCATGCTGCTTGAAAACACTTCTTTTGACACACAGGTAATGTCTTTGGCAAGCTAGACCAGCGTGATTCCATTTCATTGACTTCTAATTAATACTCCATTACTGACTACTTTCTTTTTTGAAAACACTGCTTTGACAACCTATGTTTTAACAAATATTTGTTGGTACAGCATGGCATCCTTTGCTCTGTGGTTACGGACAGCCCGTGTTCTGTGAATGAGCGAGACACAGTCAAGTGGAGGTCGCAGCACAATGGTCTAACAGCCCAGCTTCCTCCTTTGATAATTACTGTTCATTGACCTGCAACGATGGATCATTGCCTGTGCCAGTCATTAATTGCTGGGAGCTGGAATGTTTTCCACTACAATAGAAAGTAAACTTTGGAAATGTATGTCTTAACGAAACACATGATAGAGTATAAAACTGATCAGTATGTTAAAAAACAAAATCCACTCACTCAGGATTTAGGTTGCTATTGAGCAATCCTTTCAAATAGCCTTTGAATGTGTTCTAAGTGTTTTATATCATACTGACAATAACTTACTTTTCGAATGTTAAGAAGTGGTTATTAAAATACATTGTATGAAATTCTCAAAGAACAAACAACATTTTTTTTAAAGAAATGGTAGCTAGATACTGATTTTTAATATATACACAGC